GAGGTCGAAGGGCTCTCACTGCAGGGACAGATGACGCTTGTGCAGGTCGGCTCTTTCGGGCACGAAGCCCAGCAGCGTCTGCCAGGGGGTTAGAGGTTAGCGTAAGCCGCTCTGGGCCACCGCAGCCCACTGACTCTGAACAGCAGGGTCAGCTGTGGGACTGTGGGACCCCTCTGCTAGGTAAAGCCCTGGAACAAAAAAACATACCAACGACGCAAACATGACGAGATGAGGGAAAAAAATATATATTAACAAAAAACCTTTTCCAGGAGGATTACGGTTGCTTCCAAGTCAGAGAGCTTAAACACACGAGTAGATTTTCAAAAGCACAATGCGGTTGAGTACTTAATGTGGCCAATGCCATGGTTTGTCTCTGGGAATTGGTTTTCAAGAAGGCATCAGATGCTACTCAGGGGTGCGTGACGACCTATTTCACAAATGAACGCTTTGCTTGTTAGAACATTTTGGAATCAAACGAACACACTCTTAGCTTTTCTGGTTTCATCACTTGAACAATGTGAGAATGTAACACAGTGGAAATTTGAGCATACGCGAGCCGAAGAAACACAGCAAACCACATATGCTTTTTTATCAAGGCTGTCCATTGACACACGTTTGTGGTGCCCAGGCACTTAACATCCTATGATTGCTGTAGCAGAGACGCATGCCAATATGCATTTTCATATCCATAGTGACTGGGAAAAAGGCATTATCAAATCTAGACCAAACACATGTTTGCCGACATATTAATGAAGTCCCGGTCGCCAGGAGAGACGGCGCCGCTACACAGATACATCTCTTTAGCCCCGAGCGTGCTAACAGCACTGTCAATTTCTCTCCACCGAGTCCCTCAAGGCTGCTGGTACAAAAGACACTTAACTTTGAGGAGCAGGGGGGGGTTAGATGGTGGTGGGCTCCTCCCTCAACGGCGCCTCACCGTCACAAAAAAGATAATTGTCTCCTCCTTACCCAGAGAGATGGGCGTATTCCCCTGACCTATGCCGGGGACTCTTCCCCTCTCTCGCGCAGCCCGAGATGTCACAGTGGTTTGCCATAATTACTTTTGCTGATAGAGGTGAGAGAGGACATTTGCATCAGATGAGGCGCGCAGCGGTTTTCGGGTCTCCCCACTCGCCATATGCGGCACTTAATGTCACCGTAATCTCTAAAGGTTAGCACCGGCAGCAGCCACCGTATATCGCGGCGACTAGCTGAATCAGTGGTTTGGAAATGGGTTTGACATTGAGTTCGGGTAAACGCAGGGAAACACACACAAGGTCACAAAAAACACACACACATCGGCAAACACAAAAGAACACACCTTAGAAGAGAGATGTGGTGCATCTTCACTCAGATGTTGTACTTCTTCACTGAGAGTGAACAAGATTGGCAAGGTCAGGCTGTGATTTCTTAACACAGCACCCCTCGCTTTAGAAAGTCTTTGAGCTGGAGAGGTAAACATATTGAGTGTGTACTCCGTGCACCTTCTGTTGTCAGAGGAAGTGTTCACCTTACAGCATCCGCTGCCTACTGCTGTCATTTGCCTGAAGGTTTTTCTTTAAGGGTAGACACCCCATGGAGTAGGGTAAAAAAATGTACCTAATAGGTATCACCATGAAACTTCTCCAGTTGATTACTTCCATAAAGACAATATATATTTTCTTTTACAGGCTTTCTGAAAATGTATATTTAAATATACAAATGTGGTATTATTAATGCTAACTTGTGGTGAATTGAGGATAAGTCTATGGAAGCAAATGGACAAAGTAGTAAAATAAACACCTAAATATGTATTTTAGATGTTTCCTTTACAGAGTCTGAAAGAAGACCATATGAGAGCATATTACCACACCTGAGTCAGTGGAGGGTAAAACAAGCGCTCCTGTCTGGAAAAGGAGCCGCCCCTCCTCAGGTGCAATCACATCCACTCAACGAGAGGCTATATAATGCTGCTTTCCTCGCGGTGTTTGCCCTTTTTCTGACCTAGGAAAATGAAGTCTGTGTTCGGGGAGTTACTTTACTCCTTTTAATGCTTTGACATACCTTATTATCGCACAATAAATGTGTAGATTGGTTAAGAACGCTCCCTTTGCAGAGCTAAAAATACACACACACACACACACACACACACACAGGCGGAGGCAACCAAAGAACTAATAAGAGATCTGCCTTTAAAAATACAAAGCTCTCTGCATAAATGAAACCCGCTGACAGCTTCTTCTACTGTGCTCATATCCATTAAGTCAAGTCCAGCATTTTTTAATGTAGATGTTAAAGTAAAAGAACTGAATACTTCCTCCGTTGCTGTGCGTCTGTGGTATTGAATAGAAGCTTAGAAATCCACCATTTCAAGACGTTTTGTATCGCTATGAGCATGCGATGCAATTCAAAAACAAGGACGTGGTAATAGTGAAAGTAGTATCGCTCACAGGGAAGCACAAGAAATGCACAGCTATTATAGACGTGTTGACAAAGATGTGTTAACATGTTTGCTTTCAAAATGTGAACCAAAAAAGTGCCTTCTACAGAAAGGCAGACTTAAAAGGCTCTCACCAGCATTTTATTTTGAATTTGAGTCTCAAACTAATGATTTATTATTCAATATACACTCCGATAATTAAGGAAACTCCTGAATGCAGACACAAAACGTAGTTGACCCTTTTCTAAGTCCCGCGGCTCGAGCAGAGACTGGCCAATCATAGCTCGTCCTGGTTGAACGTTGTGTAAAAGTGACTCTCGCTACCTGTCGAGGTTAGGAGGAGATATACATTTCCTAAATGTTGCGTTGCTACGTAAAACCTTTAATTCCATTGTCTTCTGTCTCGATCTCCAGGTGATGTGGTGGTTCACTTTCATCCTGGATCAATCCCTCAAACGTCTAACTGTAGACCCTTCTGTCTGCTTCTCTCTGAAATCGCTATTTCGTCATTCCAAAAATTTGATAACATTTCTACAGGGAGTGCAGTTAGTGACAGTGTGGGCTCCATGGTAGCAATGTGGGGGCGGGGCTTAGTGAAAGGACTTTAGCTGATTTCCAAATAACACATTTGAGTTGCATAAGTGCATAACGCATTCAACAATGACATGTAACCACAATGCATCTCATACTCCTCTCCCCCCTTTTCTGCACCATGAAATAAAGGCAAAACTGCCTCAAAAACGAACATAAAGATAAACCCCATTATGGTTGTATCAAAAGTTGAAAGAAAGCACTCAAACTGCAATTTGGAAAAGTCCTTGGACTCACTTAACACTGATGCTGCAGAGGTGTTCAGTCAAGAAAGCCCACATCTCTCTGTCTTTGTGCCATTATCTATATTCCTCCCAATCTCCCTCTCTGAGAGAACGATTCTGCCTTTAGTTTCTAAATCCCACACCTCCCAGAGCATACGCGTCTGTTCATCACACTTTCTACATTCTCTTCTATTTTCTGTTTTGTTTCTGGGATTCTGGTGACATTTTCAAAGTGCCAGATCCTTGCCTTGAGACATTGTGCATGTGCCCACACCTCTCCGCCCCCAAAACACACACACACACACACACATGGACAGCGGATACACTCTCTCCTCGCCTGGAGCCAGGCCCCTCTGTGCTCCTCTACCTCAGAGAAGCTGGAGCTTGGCATAGAGAGGAGGCTCTGGTGGATTCTGTGCTCCGCCTGCCAATGCTGCTCTCTTGATCTGCAGCCAGCTGATGACAGATCTACATTAAGCTCATAGTCTTCTCTCTCTTGCTCTGTTTCTCGTCTCCTCTTCCATGACACCGGGGCAAAAAATTGTTACCGCAGAGTCCACGGGCATTGGTGGGAATCGGCATCCCGTGGGGTCGGGCGCCGCGAGTCTCTTCTCACACCAAATCGAGAGAAATGTAGAATGCTGAGTGGGTTTCCGGCTTGTAGATAAATACCATGTGGGTGTGAGCCAAAGATAGCGCCATATCAACAAATCCAGGGGGAAGCTGTGTGCACATCTCTGATGTGTAACTCCCAGTTTTGAAGGAATAATACAACCTTTAACATGCGCACACATAGAGATGTTACATTTTTATGTTAGTGATGTAGGGCTCAGTACCCACCTGCCTTAAGTGTTCTCTTCTACTTCTGTTGTAGTTTTGAATTTCTTAAAATGACATTACATAGCTTCATCATAAGAAAAGAACATCTCTTCTAGTTGAGAAAAGTCAATATATGGTAGCATGCTAATACCCGATGGCAATCAGGGGGTTACATTACATTACAGTCATTTAGCAGACTAGTTGGGTGCCCCCAACTAGTGCTCTTGCACAGACTCAATATGCAATGTACAAGATTGCATGGATTCAAGCCAAGGCAACTAGGCTATAAACGCTTTGCACACATCACCAAGGGTAATATGGGCAACAGTAAGGCCACTCACACAACTACATCTACGCAGCATCCGTGCAGCAGAATCCACAGAGCACACTCTCCATCTCTCTTTACTTTGACACACATGCACATAAGCAATTTTTCACCTCACGCAGGTCCATCACAATTCAGTCACAGCAAAAACATAGGCTAGACATTGGAAAATATTCTATTTTACCTTTTAAGAAAAAGAATGGACACCGAGTCTGCTTTCCCTTTGACATATTTCCCAGAATTTGACGTCCTGGTGTTTGGATTTTCGGAGTGTCAATAAGGGTTGTGATGGACAATAATTGCTTTGTGTGAATGTTGGATGTGGGTGATGAGTTTAAATAAAAGCCCTCGCTCTCTGGCTCTGAGTGACCGACCGCTAAAAACAGATGTAGCCTAATTAAAAAGATGAGACCAGACACTAAGATACATTTATGTTTTATGTGGGTCTTTTATTTCCCCCGATTGCACTCTTGGAGTACAGCGTTAATTGGTCAAATTTTAAAAAGGTACAGATCAATTGACAGCAAAATTAAACAACTGCTTCCCACTCTCTTCAGAATTACAATACAACTGGAAACACTATATTCTAAAGCTACATAGAAAAACAACAGTAGTGACCTACTCTCCCATATCAGTACTCGGCCTGTGTGCTCGGACCCACACACACGGAACTCACGGCAGCTTCAGTCTCCCCTGCTGACCCGTTGTTCAGGTCTTTCCCTTCAGTTCAGTGGATGCTAAAAGCTAACGCTCGGTCCTCAGTAGCCTCTGATTCCCGCTCTGTATTCCTACATCTCACGTGAACTCCGTGCTCTCGCGTAGCTCACGCTTCATTGTTCTTAAAGTGACAGTACGCCTAAAATAAGAGCAGCATCTGTCACTGTCACTAACTCTGCACGTAAGTCATATCTATCAGGGACAGTACAAAAACCTTCCTACCCCCACTTCGCCTGGCTACACAGACATTAAGGGTTAATGTGTCGGACTGACGGCAGACAACATTTCATAGAACTCTTCTTGTGTTTGCCGTGATGAGGTCCATAAATAATCTGCCAACCCACAGAGAGTGTTGTAAACCAGGCTTCCCCCCTTGGTACAATTGAAAATTAAATTAGAAAATTTGTCTTCTTGTTGTGACTGAACTTTGGAAGAAAGAAATGTATGAATGCCCCGGCAAAAAGCAATGAGATCCATCAAGGTAAAACCATTTTAGATGATGGAAGAAAATGCTTTAATTACTCGAAATACTCACAAAATATGTCTGGAACAACAGATACTCTGTTCATAACCTCAACAGAAATACACAGTGTTCTAACCCACCGACCGACCGGTAGTTGAGTGCAGACATCGCACTCAACTACCGTAATGTTTACATTATGACGCATTGATCAAAATGATGAGTGCGGGGAGAAAAGAAATGGCGCACCATGGCAGAGAGTGAGAGCAATCACATGGGATGCATGGCCAACAGCTGCTGATGAACGAGGAGTGACGGGCGGTGATGGAGCCTCACCATTACAAAAACACAACCAGCTGTTATTTCTAAAGGGGCGCGTCTGCTTATTACTGCGATATCCAGCAGGAATAGCTCGCCATCGCACCATTGAGCATGGCGGGGCGGCTTTGTGCCGATAGGTGAAAACACTGTTTCTATTTTAAGATTTAGACGTCTCTTCTTTTTCCTGATGCTGTGATTGAGAGTGTCATTTTAAAAAGGAGGCAAAAACAGCTCGTAGCATTTGGTTGGAGCTCTCCGAGTTGTTTGCGTTTGTCATTACAGAGCTGTCCTTTGATTCCGTGGGGCAATGCTTTTGTGTGGGCTGTAAATTGGCAATCAGCCTGTCACATTACCATTGAAATGGTCACTGTAAGCTCCTGCGAGGAGGTCATGGCCTGTCTCAGTGGAGGAGAGTACGCTATTGTGTAAAACTCATAAGGACCATTCAGTTTCTTTTTTTTGTCAGAGCACACTCAAACACCTCCAGTTTTCAGCTGCATTCGTTGGTTTAATCCGTCTCAATGCAGCACACACATAGATATTTAATTAACCTTTTTTTTTTCTTTTGTTGGTTTTTGCAACAATACCCTCAGTCTCCCCATAGATACCGGTGCGAAGGAGGAAAGAGCGTATCAGGATACATGCGAGAGACGGTGAAAATGAGACAGAACAAATGTGAGAGTCAACATGAGAGTCAGAGTGCATGTGGGCATAAGAGGGGGAGAGCATGATGGCAGCTCAGATGTACCCAACGTACATCACTCAGCCTCTGCATTCGGTGGCTGCACGGCTGTCAGGAGCCGGCATATATTATCACTGCATCTGTTGTGAGATAGCGGACAAATGTCAGCTCGGATAAACGCGCGCCTTTCTTTGATGCCTTCTATGATGGTGGTGCTTCACAATTCAATTCATGCTCGATTAGGAAAATGTCAAAGCTGTTGTATGGAAATGACTAATATGATCCAATTAACTGCTTCCACTAATACGGTTTACTCCGAGTTTGGATCGGACTCACTGCGTATGTTGAAATGTGTGAGATGTGACCAGAATTTTAGTTTAAAACATAGCTAGCCGCTGCCCGTCCTGTCTTGCAATACCACGAGTACCTCGGGAAGCGATGGCGGGTCACTGAAGGCTTCCAGTCTGTTCTCGGTGCAACATGAGACGACCAAGACGTAGAGCTCGACGGCGTGTCAATCACGTTGAAGGTACGATACTATTTTTCCCGGAGGAGGGCGGACAACGGCTCTGGGAGTCGGGCCTTCAGTTAGCGGTTAGCTATAGCAACTATCATTCAGCTAGCGCAAACCCCAGCACCAGGAGTCACAGCGGGCTGGGTCCAGCCTGTACAACGGCTGCAACAGAAACTTTGCAGATCCAGCGGTGAGTTGGGACAGTTCCACTCCTGGCGCTGGGGTTTGCACTGACGGAATTTGTGTTACTACAGCGCCGATAACCGGAGGTCTGTCTCAGAGAGCTATTTGCTGCCTAGTTGTTTGGAGCATGTGGCTATATACGACACATTGCACCTCTTAAGAGCTGAAGTTTTACAAAAAAATCATTTCAAAGATGTGACTCTTAGTAAATCCTCAGTGTATGCTGCCTACACGATTTATTTGCACTAAATTTAAGGGATATGTTATCAGCTTCTAGCTGTCTTTTTTTTATGTGACGAGCGTGCCCTCGTACAGTAGCTTGGACGCTATGCTTTCAAAACCCAGCTCCTCCAGGTTTCCCTGATTTGAAAGCGAAGCACACAGCCTCGCTCTGAGCCATGCTGGTCCTGTAAGAAACAGCTGTTTGCATGAATCTTTAATGTACGCCCACATTGGCACACCATTGAAGCAGATGAGAATGTGGAGGATCACCTCGGCCCCTGATTTAAGCTGTTTCAAGTCCCCGCCGTTTCAGAATGTCAAACGTCTCATTCACTGGAGTGTACCACTTAAAAATGTTATAGGTTAGAAAAACGACAACAGCTACAGCAGTCTAGCCCAGTAGTGATGCAGAGTTCCTTTATGGGGGCAAAACAAACAAGTCAAAATGTAGAAAAACTTGTATTATGGGGCTGAGCAATATGGTTCAAATGAATATCCCAACATTAGTCCCAGTATGGTTCTCATACGTATATGTACAGTAGTACGGTTTGGCAGAGTATGCAAGATCCTATCTCCACCAGTACTCGCTACATTGTCATCTGCTCCCATAAATTGGATAAAAATACTTAAAACAATTGTAATTTTTGAGCCAATATTGGTACTGCAAAGGACTCAAACAGACATTCATACGTGTGTGGTTCAAGCAAGTCAGCATAAACATGTTTGGCATTGTACCTTTCTGCAAACAACGAGATGGGATGCTTCTGAAGGAAAAAGTTTAAATTTTAGCTGTCTTGTATCACGCTTGAAGAAACACGTATTGCCACATGGTTAACTGCCATGTAAACGAAAGGTTACATCGAGGCAACAAAGCTACTTGGTCAAGGTTAGAAAAAAAGATAATGTTTGTGTTAAAACAATAACGCAACAATGTGACATGGTGAAAGTCCAACAACCCTTAGCGGACTTAACAGCACAGAAGCGTAACAACGTAACAAGGGTAAAGTCCATGTTTACTTGTGGTTTTACAGCTGACACAAACAGCTGTCTCCTGGGTGAAGGTCTTGTGTCTGTTTGGCCCATCTGCCAAAACCTCCAACCCACCCTTAGTGGACTTTCTTGCTTGCTTTACCGCGTACCTTTCACAAACGGTTGCTGGATATTATACATCACGTTTAACAAAAAAAATGCCATCACAAGTTACTTGGAATTGAAAAACACTGTGATCATATCAGTACAATTCAATTAATTGGCAAAAGTGTTACTTCTTGCTCTTGCCAACAAATCAACTTTGACATGTGATATTGGTGAGTTCATAATGTACAGCTGCAGTCATAAGCGATACCGTCACAGTTAGACCTTCTAATATTGAGGTGATGGATTGACTTCACCTGTGCACTAACCGATAATCAGAGAGGCAGGCTGAGCAAGTGACATGCTGCAGCATATTGAAAAGAGTCGGGACACACACAATATGCTGCTGTTTTGTGGTCTTAATGTAGAGGCCCTGCTGGGTTTCCCATCTCACCTAAAGAGTAAGTATTTTCTTTTCCTCCCCACCTTGTTCCAGCACTTTCACATCATTTGTCTTTGGAGAAATGAGCTCAAAAGTAAACGGCGTAAGCTGGATATGCGGCTGCAGGTTTACAATTGTTGTGCTTGGCGACTGCTGTCTGTATCACGCAAGTGTGAAAAGCAATAACACCACCAAAGTGCAACTGTTGACGGTCAATATTTTCTCTCCCTGATAAACCCTCTGGGCAGGAGCGTTCCTTCATCTAGCCAACACAAACACAGCTTTGCAGTTTCAATCTGTCACAGTGTGTGAATATGGAACCAGAAAAAAAAATTATATATATATACCCTTGTCTTGCCACTCTGCATTCTCAGTTTCACAGAGGAATCATCCCAATAAGTTTAAGGATTGCATGAGATAAAGCCTGGCTTTGTCAGAGTCAACAGGGTTAAAAGCAAATTAGTCTTCATGGCTGCTGAGTTGCGACTTTGATTCGCTTTACCTTTTCTAATGTCACTCCTCTGCAGGAGAACATTGCACGGAAAAAACAATCGGAGACAGCCACTCTGGCCTAGACACCAAAGTATAATTTAGCACAATGACACATTTTTCAGATGCAGAAAAAGACAGAGAGAGATTACCTTGTAAAAGTCAGATGTGTTTGTGGGAGAAAGTCTGCAGGTTGACCTGAACGGGATACATGAACACCTCAGCTGTATCTGGGAAACAAAGAGACCAGATATGCCAAGGTTACTTCACAGCTGTGAGGCTGTTTTTCAGTGCAACATGTGACGATCAGCACCTGACCGACACGCAGGCATCGATCCGCCCATGATTTTCCACGTAGCTCATATTGATGCAGGCGCGGAAAACTTGAGATTCACAAAGTTTCGCATGCATGCTAAGTCACACACACCGCACTCATACACACACTTCCAGATGCAAACAAACACACAAGTCAACAAGCCTCCAATTCCCGGAGCAGCTGTAGACTCGGCAGACTCCGCTACCCCTGTGGCTTACTTTTGAAGATGAATCTCCAGAGCCCCCCCTAAGGAAAACAGCGCTTTGCCAGGAGATGTCCAGGAACGTTAACTGTCGCCGTCTCTTTCTCTCTCGCTCTCTCTCTCTGCACTCAGACACTGACGGCTGTGATGGGGGAGGCGCGGCGCTCCCACACTGAGGCAGGGTAATTGGCTAGAGATGATGGGCCATAAACATACATCACAGGGGCGGCGGAGCGCCAAGCAGACAGCTAACTAAGGCTCTCTTTCTCCATGCGTGGCCCTTGTTTGCACGCACACGCGAGGCCACGCCGTCTACCCCTTTCCCTAGATATTCATGCTCTTTGCACACATGGGCCGGGCTCACCATTAATATAACAGAGAGAGAGGGAAAAAACCCTGCCGCTCCCTTCATTCAATTTATCACCATATAAAAACTATATATTCTGTGCGGGATGTTTTCACCATTTCCTTGGCATCATGACCATAACCCGGAGGATGCTCTCCTCTGCCATTATCGTCCACTGATGTATGATAGGCGCTACCCATTTAAAATGCATCATCACCATAACAGATAGGATGCCCTCTCTCTCACCATTACTACCACCACACAGTGGCGGATAATAGGCTATCCGTTTCCTGCGGCGCTATCGCCGCGGTGCAGCCTTCCCTTCCCATTACCATAACACTTCTGTCATAATAAGCAGGGAGAGCCTTCCAGTCATGACCACAGCTCTCCGAGAGGAGGTCAGTCGTGTCGTCAGACTGCTCTCTCACACGCTGGTAATTGGGAGAAATAAGGCTGGGGCGAGGAAACGGCACCAGAGCTGCCCTTTTTCTTCCTCGCTGGTTTTGCCGTGCGAGGCAGTATTTTATTGTATTTTTCTGCTGTCATCCAGTAGTGCCGCTGAGCCGCGTTTAAAAAGGAAAGCAAAAAGAAACATACGGGAGACGGAGCCAGTTCATTTGGCTCACTCGATTGCTGCTCTTTACGCCATCTCATAGCAGATTTCTCCTCTGATACAAGCAAGCCCTATTCTTCATTCTGTAATACCGTGACATGAGATGAGGGATTTCATCAATAACATACCACTTTATTCGTCTAATCCTCTTTTTTTTCTGGGTTTTCCAGATTTAGTTTGACAGGTCTTGCGTGACCGCTATATTTGTTGTTCTCCTCAGGACAAGCACCAACCTGAAGACCCCTTCACTCTCTCTCAGCAGACTGGAACTTCGACGGGGAGATTGAAACCAATGGCAGGGAGCGGAAGGGACAAGAGGACGGTGGGGTCCAGGCAATTTGCTCATTTTTCTTGTCAAACTCAGGCCGGCTTAATGGCGTGTTCACAGCGAGTGGTGAGACAAAGGGCCGGCGCGGCCAGGTCCCGAGAGGAAGGAGTGCTGATCAAGACGGAGGCCATCATCGCCGTGGCGGAGGCCACCCCAGCATCTTCCTCATAGGTAGACCACCTGAGTCGCTAAAGCAAGCGGCAAATAAACATGTCTCATCTCTCACAGAGCGAGTGTACTGTATGGGGCTCGCTCTCAAAGAGGAAAATGAAATATGGCCTCAATTATTCTCTAAGTGTAGAGAGGCACAGATGTTCCTATTGTTCCTCCCGTTCCACATCCTCCTAAACCCTCCCCCATTATCGCCTTCATTACCGGCGCCATCAATACGGTAGGCGGCTGCCAGAAAACCTGGATGTATTCACAACTCATCATGCAAACACCAATTAATCATCCGCCCGGCAATTACACACCTTTCCGCCATACCACTCCATTGATTTTCAGCACAGTGATGCTTTTTCCCTCTTTCATTTGCACAACGACAAACTCCACATGACTTCTCTCTGCGTGGCCTGCAGCTCGCCGTGGCCTCAATCTCCGCCTGCTCTAAATATCCGCTGGACTGGAACCGTGTTGTGATCAGAGATATGATGGGGCAGGTGTGGTTTTTTTTGTTTGGGTGCAGGCTTCACGTCAGCGAAGATGCCTCATCCCGTTACATTGCTACGTCGAGCCAAGGCAGCGGGCCGCGGCGTCAGACAGCCTCTTTTGTTTCGACTCCTAATTGGGGTAATTTATTGTCCTAACAGGCGGAGCAGCTGTGGCTTTACAGCATAGCGGCAATTAAATCCAGATGCCGGGATGAAAAGACGGTGGCTGAACGTGACTTGTGGAACCAATCGCTAATATTAACTGCGGGGATGAATGTGACAAGCTGTGATGAGAGATTTCTTCTCGTCCCATCGCCGTCCCACTGATGTTGAAAATATGCAATTTTGATGAGGTTTCATGAAAACAGTCACGGCCGGATCTCAGACAGACGCTGCTCATCATTTCTAGTAATGGATGCAATTATCTGCCAGATTAAACATTGAAACAAAAATCTGCGGGGACACCTGACAGCCTCGTGCTAGGACCCTCGGCTACAACGCAAACCTGCAATCAAGCCACAGGACTCTAGTTCTAGTTTCCCTGAAGTTTCCCCCACAAAATGGTTCTGACAAGAGGATAAGGTGAATATGAGCGGAAGGTCTGGGGAATATGGGGAGCAGCGGAAAGAAATCAGGTCGCTGTGAAGATTTCTCCAGGGCCGCGCCAACCCCGCCATGCTGTGCTTGGCCCTGGCTGCCTCTTCAGTCCAGGCCCTTTTAGACGAAGAGCCCCGGGGACTGACACAAATGTGAGTAACACGGAAAAATGGAGGCAGCGCGAGGTCACCGCCGCGATGCCGCAGCTCACTGGAGAAAACGTAGATACACAGCGACTCTTTTGGCTTCAAAATTCAAAGGGGAGAAAGAGGGGGAGTAATGAGGCGACCGTGGCGAGGCTCTCTTCTTCTTTTGTTCATTTGTCTTCCGTGTGAAGTTTTAATGAAGTGGTTGTCCGCTCTGCCACTATTTACTCTAAATGGAGGGTGTCTGTTGATGTAATGTGCACTGCCCGCGACAAGTTAAACATCTTAATGACTTATATATTGTTCTATATTCTTTATCTCGGAGCACGGACGTGCTGCTCTGAACCAACTGTAGGAGTCTATCCAATTTGAATTCACTTAGTGGTAATGTGGCGCAACTGACACGGTTGCTGCTCTAAATCTGTATAAAGCCTTAAAACTGAAAGAATCAAAGTAACTTCATTGGTATTTACTTGCATGAGAGTGAAGAACAAAACCACATCTGAGTATTATTGTAGTCAACTGGAGAAAGAAATTCTGTTTTTACACGAACAGAATTGGAACTCCTCACCTCAGTTTGGGAAATGGATGAGTTTGATAATCAAGCATCTGTGAACAGACTTAACAAATATTGAGTATGAAATTACCGTTTTATAAAAGCTGTTTACTGCAAACTGTAGTTTTAAAAACTTTACTTTTATTCACATGAATCGTAGTATTTATTATACTATTCATTATGTCTAACTTGCCATCGGTTGGCTAAAAGTACGTTTGTGCAGTTTATGTCACATAAAAACGAATTGCAGACAATTCATATTTTGTATTGTTTAAGTTACTTATGTTAAACTGTTTACATCTCACCTTTGATATATATATATATATATATATATGTAGGAAGGAAGCTACACCTTTGCTCTGTGCTTAAAGCTACTACGAGGAACTTGAATTTTGTGTTGATTTTGGCGGTCCTCATGGACAAAAGTGCTTCCGAGCAGCAGAATCCCTATAGAAAGCCTCTCATTATACTACAGCAGGTTCTGACAGTCTGCCCTGCGCAGTCCTGATTCTGGTTCTCTCGTGCCCCGCTTCCCTCAAGCTGGCCAGCAATACGGCCTGGTTTTCACAAGCATGGTGTTGGTGTCAGCTCACAGCGGGGAACGGCAGAGCAGCAAGGCGAAGCTCTGCTTCTGGCCGGAGAGGAAGCTGCTACAGAGCAGCAGAGCTCTCCTCCTCCAGCAGAACCTCCGATTGCAGGTCAAAAGCGGCAGCAAAGCCAGATCTGTATCCGTCCACGGCGGGCTGGTCGCTGCCGGAGGCCCCACCGGAGTCTGAGCTGAAAGAGTTTCTGATGGACCTGGTGGCACTGATGAATTGAGAATAACTTTATAGAAATAGACCATCTTAGCCTAGTCTTTAAATCGTGTTGACCAAATTTGCAGGTTTTGGGTACGATTTTGAAACAAAGAACATGGACTACAGAGTTTTACCGATCCTGTATTTATTCACTATCACAATTTCAAGAAATAGACTGAGCCATGCTCACAATTACGTAAGCTAAATAAACAGATAATCAAAAACCTTTGATAACAACATCATATACCCAATTTGAACTCCAAATGCCCCTCTTCTACCCTGAAGAAGGTACAAAATACCCGTATCCCTGACAACGGTGGCTCTGCAACCTCCCTTTCCCGGTCCGAGAGACGAACTCCTCTCGAGAGCAAAGAGCCGTAAGCGGTCCGACTGGATGGCAGGAAACCTCTGTGCTTTATGAGGATAAAGAGCTCTGACCCAATTAGCTTTCTTTGTTAAATAATACTCCACTGGCTCTCAATTAAACCCCCCCACACACACACACACTTCCCCTCCTCCCCTGTTGTGTTTTACAGTATAACGTGATTACAGATTTAATTAGCTGAGGACCTTGCTTCAGGGAGACTCCAAAATCCATATTGATATTTCTGTGGAGTTTGGAGATAGATGCCTCGGCTCTATGACGATGACTTCCATACGAGAGTAGGAGGGGGGGCTGCAGAAAAGTGAAATGCAAAAGATGATTTGCAAGTTTTCCCAGCTCTTGTTTACTTTCTTTCCCCCGAGGCTAATCACTCTGTTGCAGGATGATGCGGAGAGAGCAAAGAGCCGATCAATGCTGAGCCTTGGATGTAAACAGGCCTTCTGTCAACGCAGCAGCTTTTCTGGTTTTGACATATTTTTTACTATTTGAAAAAAAAGCAAGACTGGACTGCAAGATAAATTAAGTCCCACCCAACCTTCTCTCCATACAGACAACAGTGCAGGCACATAAAGCTACGGTCGATAAAACCGCAAGTCTGTGAGAGAGGCGAACTCTGTTGTCCTGCATGAAAGTCGGGACATGCTACACACTCAAATCCACGGCAAGCAATCATCCAATACTGATGTAATTCATATGGGCCGATTACAGCTGCCTGTGAAGTTAAGAATGTGAAATGCCATGAGTATAACCATGCAAACTATTTTTTGCACAAATTCTTCCGATAAGAGACTACTTTTTGTGACGTAGCTTGAATCTCTGGGCCTGTCTTGGTTTTAGGGCTGGACGGTAACATGTTTCTCTCAATTATTCAACGTTAATGATGATAAATTTGAGATATTTTTTCAATTAAGTTATTTTTTTAATCCACTTTCCATACTTAGAAAAACACTAGATGAACAACCAGACAGCAGAGTCGTAGGCTCCGCCATCGTGGCCATAGCCGACCTGGTAGCCTACTCCGTTGCTTCTGTAAAATGGTGGATCAGTTGTTTTGATTGTCACAACACCTTGTGGCGGTCTTGGCAGCAAGTGTCACGTTTAAACCCGTGTCTGTTTTTTCTTTTTTATTCCATCTGACTTGATATATTTTTGATGTTATTGCTGCTTTTGCACACTGTGGAAATCTGAGTCAGACCGCAGTGACAACAAGCCCACTTGTATTCAGGATGCTTGTCCTTCGCCTTACTGTACTGCATGTCTATGTTCTTTCACATATTGTCATACATCGCCTTGCTGTGAAACCAATTTCCCTTCAGGGACAAAATTTTGAAAGTTGAAATGACTCGTCAAGTCTTGACAGCCCCTCTTCTCTCACTACTTCTCTCTCCTCATGTCCCCTTAACGCACATTACTGACTCTGCTTCTTGAGTCTTTGTGCTTTCTCGTGGATCGTGGTTATATCTGGACCGAGGCCTTGCCTCCTGCCGTGGTCCTGCCACCCACTGCTACTATCATTATTTTTAGTAGACTCATTGCTATTGCCGATGCCATTACTGCTTTTGTTATCATTGTTATTCTACTATATCTATGTAGGGTTCTGTCCTAAGGACAATACTTTTAAAACTGTAAATTGGGCATTATCATTAGTAAATGTATATTGTCATAATTATTGCCATATTTGTCTGATGACAAAAAGTGAAAGATGTGAAGATATGGATTATGATAGTGTTTAAAAGCAGAAATTGTTCAAAAATGATCATGTTTTGGTGTCGTGGAATTCTTTCTTGAGCCACCATCATATGCACCCGTGTTCAAAATGTCAACAAGGACAAATCCGCACTAGAAGAGGCAGAGATACCAGCAGTAGTACACCAGACTACAGGCAACATTGCATTCTCAGTAAGGCAGACTCAGTAGAACACTCCCTCTATTGTTGATGCTATCACCATAACATTCTCTTAAACATGAAATCCAGCTGGGCACATTAAGCCCAGCAGAGATCTCTGAGGGACATTGATCGGTATACTGGGAAATTTGGGAAGTCACGTTCAGACATTCCATTAGTTTCATATTTAGAATGAGTGTTCCCATAATAACAGGAGAAGGATCTTAAAGAGCGTATTGTCATGAAAGCCTTCAACAGAATGGTAATAAATGCTCAAATGAAAGCTTTTTAGCCAACATGTTCTTGTGAATACGCATTTTTTTTTTTTTTTTTTACATCTTTCGTTACTTAACATCCCATTCTCTCTGGTTTGAAAGTGTAAAAATAATATGCAGCGAGCCATGGGTTTTCTCCTTTAATCATGACTGTACTGAGCATACAGTACGGTGCTAAAAGATCGAGGAGCTGTGAGGTAACGCGCTGGAGCCAGGGAGGAAATGGAAATGAGGATGTAGAGCATGGAGGTGTCAGAGCGGCTCGTCAAACTGTCTGCACGTACTATGAATATTTCACTACTGACACACAGCAGCTTGCCAGCCCAAACTGCACCCCTGGAGATGGACAAACACAAAGAAACAGAGACAAATTGTAGATAGATAGATGCGTAGCTGGATAGTGAGGTAGATAGGTAGCTGGATAGATCGCCCCCCCCCTCTTCACCCCACATGGACACCTGTCTCAGGCTTCATCTCGCGCCCCTGAATTTCACGAGGCAGGGCTTGACAGGAAGAGCTCTCCACAGCTGACAGCGCTGCTTTCCAGCACCGACAGGGGCTGTCTGAGAGCTCGCCCACATCACACCAGCATGTAACGCCCAGGACAGACCGACAGACTCACGGACACGCAGAAGATGTGATGCAAAGTGTGCACCGGGTAGAAAAACTGCCTTTTTTACTGCAAAGCTAAGAAAATGACTCTACAGCCATGGCTTGGCTACATGCTAACATCAGCATGCTAACACACGTACAATGACAAGACGCTGATGTGTAGCTGGTATAATGCTTACTATGTTCACGTTCTTAGTTTTTAAAATTAACTTTTGTTAATTAGCACTTAATACAGCGTAGAACTGATGGAAATGTTAGTTTTGTTTTGTAGCATTTGTTTTGGTACTTTGATGCGATCATGGCGCTAGATGAAACGTTATCAGATCAACGAAGTTATTACAATTCACCCTGAGGTGAGCCTGAACGTCTGTACCAAATTTCACAGCAATCCATCCAATAGTTGTTGAGAAATTTCCCTCGAAACTACAAATTCAACCTCCTGGTTGCCCTGAAGGAAAAGAAGGGAGATCAACAGTAGGATTCATTTTCTGGGACTCATAAATGTCAAGAAAAGAAGAGAGATGATGTGCTTTTTCATTTAGCAGTGGAGATATGAACCTGGATAAGTGGAAATGTTGACCTGCAGGTGGCACTTCAGAAGCCATTCACCACAGTAACAAGGGTTTGTCCTCTGGACGTGTTGGGTATCTGTCAGTCTTTCACGGTAATTCAAAAGTTGTTGAAATGTTTCACTAGGGAACTAAACATTTCAACCTCATGGTGGTGATGAATGAAAGTCAGTAGGCTTCATACTTCTGGGGCCCGAATTTCATGGGAATCCATTCAATTGTTGAGATATTTGAGACTGACCAACAGACAACATTGGCATCCCTTGAGCCACTTTTTAGATGCCTGCCAAACAATGCTTGGTTACACTGGTGCTGGTAAAGTATACAAGAAAAAAAAGGTACACATTTGACAAGGAGCTGGTGTAAATCCTCCATTCACACAAACACAAAACAATTTATTCTGCTCAGTGAAAGAAACTACTGAGATAATCACGCTCCGGTAATCGGACAACTCCACTTCTCCGAGGAGAAGCAACCTCTGTATCTATTGTATCATTACAGGCAGCGTGTTTTGTAGCAGCAAAAAAAAAAAAAAAAAAAGTACCCTTTCGAACATATTGCCATGATTACAAAACATTTTTCAAACAAAGTCGGCGAACACTGAGCCGAGAAAATGCTTCTCTCTTTTTGGGAATGTGATCCTTACGGATCGCCAAAACGCGGCGATTAATTTCTAGCTTCAGACGGATCCCTGGGAATTCAATTTTCCCCTTGGGGAACTTTATTTGTTTTATGTTTAAGATATACAACGGGCTTCCTTTTTAGAGGTTCTGTACTGTATGTTCTCTCCGCCTCCAACACCACATATGGGGGACATAAAAATGCAACATCGTGCGGTCGACCGTCTGAGGCAATAAATAGATGGTTTCACTTCGGCGGCTTCATGTTAAGTGCTGTACGTTATGATCCAGAGATTGCCACGCTGCGCTGATCAATATGTCTGCATCGGAGGAGCTGAGGTTTACAGGGGCAGCGTTGGGAGAAGGACCACTAAAGTGGTAAATCTGACCAGAAGGACTTACTTCCACTGCGCATCCTATGGGCCATTATCTGTGGGTGTGCTCACACATCAAAGTGGCAGGGGTCTTCCAGGCTAAAACGGAATAAGAAACAAAGGACCATTAAATCACATTGAGAGACTCCGCTGCGAAAAACACACATGTGGACATGCACACACACTTAAACACTGCAGTACGAGGGCTGTGGAGGAGAGTTTAGGACCAAAGGAGAAAGATAGAGAGAGAAAAGGACGAGAGGGAGAGAAAGGGAGCGCGACATTGATTTTCCCCCCTCTGAAGTGCCAGTTCATCATTCTGTGAGACACACTCTATCGATCCTCCGCCTTTAGTTTGTTTGTAATTTTGGGGGCTCAAAACTGTTCACAAAGATAGATCCTCTTATATGCCACTTGCCTCCAAGATGAAGAATGGAGGGATCAAAGGATGTGTGGAGATGGCCTCATTTTGCTAGGTGCTCCTATACTGAGTCGGTTTCTGTGGCCCTGTTTAATAAGGGAGCTTTGGTGTCGGGGGAATCCAGTCAACTGACTGTTTATCGTAACATTACAGGTCTTGCCATAAGTCACCTTTTTTATTTTTTATTCCAAAACATTGTTGCACAAGTGTTATGTCTTAAGTAGAACTGTATCGGTAGATTTTAAGGAAAGTGTTATTTTAACTGTGCTGCACTGGGGGGTGGGTGTGTCTCATTCCTCCGAGATAATCTTGTCATAATTAGCATATTCATTCTTGAGTTATGGCCTAAAACGTGTTTTGTGAGGTCCCAGCGACCTTTGAACACTAAATTCTAATCAGTTCACCTTTCAGTCCAGGGGTTCATTTGTACCAAAATTAAAGAAACTCTCGCGATCACGAGAATGGCTCCGACGTACGTTAAATCAGAGCGACCCTGACATTTGAACATCAAATTCGAATCCGTTCATCGTTACAAGTGGATGTTTGTTGATTCAGCAGGATGAGGTTCGCTAAATAGTATGAAAACAAGGACATCTGACACAGGAATAAGACCGAACAAAGAAAATAAAAATAAACGTCACACCAACATTAGATCATTGGTCATTCTTTTTCTCTTCCATAACCTTACTAACATCACATTACATAACTTCTGCTCGTTGAAGTTCATCCTTCAAGCATTTACCTCCTGCTGCCATTTGGCACTGGAGGCAATGTGCTCAGTTGCCAAATGCGGTTTTAACTCAAAACCTCTAATGCCCTCAAAAAGCTCTTTACTGGCTGCAAAAAAACAGAACAAATTGGGCCTTTTCAAGCAAATAATCTCCTGTGTGGTGCTGCAAAATCTCTAAAGCATGCAATCAAGTGGAGCTATATTTATTTCTTTATTTGCCATAGTAGTGTCTTCTTGAGTCGTTTATGTTCCTTGACCTGCTGGTCAAACTGTGAACAGTAGCAATGTCTCTGCATTCTCACAGGATGCTGGGGATAAAGATTTTATCAAACTTTAAAAGAAAAAAGACCTCAAACTACAAGAATGGAAAAAAAATAAGTTTTCAATAATAAGTGAAGAGTTTTTTAATATTTAAAAGCTGCCCATTTTCCACTGAGACCTCCATAGCTTCCAGGAAAATTGAGAGGCAACCACCCACATACAGCGTTGCCTTACCTTACACCACCCCCCCCCCCGTACGACTGAACATTCAGTGCAACGGAAAGCTATCACCTCAGAATACCTGCCAAGAGAAAACACGAATGTATCTCTCCACCATAGCATACGATACAGCGACTCCAGGAAAACATCCCTCAACCAGGGTTCACTGAAAAAACAGACGCCCACTCACGCTCACAAGAAGGTGCTCCAAAGAAAACCATTTTTTTTTTTCGCATTGGAACTGTTCACTTCTGCTCACATTCAAAATTAAGTAGTTTTTTGGGGGGGGGGGGGGGTTGTAATGAATTTCTTATCACCATGCCCACACATGCCCACTTTTCATCAGAAAATTAAAATAAAATATATCAAATAGGCCACGCAACTTTTTTAAATGATGATTAGAACCTTGAATGTTTCAGAATCAAAAACTGAAATATATCACACATCAGCCTGGAAGGTTCAATCATTTCTATACGCCACAATGTCACCCACTCAGCAGGCAGCCACTGTAGCATTCAGCATGCTAATGTTTCTGTACTTGTCTGAGCAAGTGCTTTTGCTTGGCATTTAATGCTAAACACACACATTAGTTCACATTAGTTTCACTGCTGTTAAGTTATAAAACAGTCGAATGTTTGTTAGCCCGACAAACATCCCACCTACAAAAATGCCAAATGTTGTATACATTAGTTATTGTATTATTATTACCTTTTATATAAATCCTCATAGCCTACAGAGACTGAGATGGCCCAAAAGAGTCCATGATTGAGGACTGTTCTTTTATCAAGGGCACAGAACTCAACTGAACTAATGCTAATGAGGAAAGGTTCAAGCCTTCAAATGTCTTGTCATTTGAATGAAAATTTATGATGTATTTTAGTTGGTCGGGATTTTTTGAAGCAGCCACAATGCAAGAAAAAAGAAACCCATCGGTATCAGAATCAGCAGTTGTAAGCCCTAAGTAGTGGTTGACTACCACTATGTATTTAAAGCCTCTAACCAAACACTACAGCAGCTGATTTAATCCTGATCTGCACACACTCAACTAGAGTTGGGTGACTAATCAATCATGGTGCATAGTGATTGGTTGCAACATAAGCCTGCAGATTCTAGGGATTTAGTGGTACATGCTTGAGAGCTACTGTGTAAACCGAAGAAAACAAATCTATCTGCTGGAATCTTCTGTGCAATATTTCTGTTCTGTGTTTCTTATCTAGATGCGGCATGTAGGTTAAGATCGAGTCAACATATCGTAAAAAACTATAAGCTGTTGTCCCTCTCAACAGAAGCGTCCAAAGTGGGTAAGAAAACGTGAAAATGGGCTCATCAGAAATCTTCAATAATATACCCATAAAAGGATTATCTGTCAAACACAGAGGCGACTGACAGCCTCAACACTCTGGGTGCAGGTCATCCATGTGAACCGAGTGCCGCATCCTCCAGATGCTCTCGTCATACTTGCTGCCTACAGGCAGTCTATCTGCGGTACTTCTTCATTTCCGTACTCCCCAGGTTTTTAAAATGTCATTTATGTCTAATGGCCGTGCTCATTAGCTGCGTCTGAAAAACACACTCTGGTCATTACCAGCTGCATTTGCAGTCGGGCCTCATGCCGAATTCTCTTGTTTGAGTCATCCGTCACAGTCCCGTTCTTTGGCAGTTGGCACCAGAAATGGCGCAAAGCTCAAATCTTCTAATTATCTGCAACTATCTCTATCTGCTTACATTGCGAGTGCATGTCTTTTGACTGGGCTGCTTTATCAGTGTAGCGAGAAACCCAATCTGAAACAACATCCATCATGTTGAGGCTGCCAAGGCCACTTGGGGGACTCCACAGGCAGTAGCGCGCTAAGAATTGTACTTTACCTTGGTGCGATCCTCTTGTGTATGTGCAAAGTGGGAGAAGGGACGGTTGTGCTTGACTGGGACTGCGTTTGAGACAATAGCACTCAAGTCTCTTTCATTATTCACTTGTACCACTGTCGGATATGGACAGTTGTTCCAAGAAAACCTTGGTGCTCGGGGAAAATGTCCAAAGACACCCCTTCAGAGTCAAGAAGATCAAGAGTTCATTCAAGAAGGAAGAGATCCACTTTTTTCACTGTCAAGTCTACTTGGAACAGAAGCACAGCTTGCTATTTCTACCATAATACTGCAAAACAAATACCTGCTTTGGAATCACAGCACTACACTTCTTTTTTTTTTCTCGATTTTGCATAATTCTTTAGGGGAGCTTTGCGTGGGTGTGCAACAGCCTGTCCAAGTAAGAAATAGAGAGAGAGGGAGAGTGGGTGGTGGAGCATGCCGGCTGTCCTTTGTCAACTGTTCAGTGCCATTTAATGGCCTGTAAACCCCTTTGCTTGAGAAAGAACAGGCAATTAGCATACTGAGTGGATTACAAGATTGCTCTGACTCCTGGATTAATGTGTGCACTTAATCTTCTCTTTGCTAAGCGATTCTTGGATATACAGCCATTCAAGGGGAACAAATGTCCCCACCTTCCAAAACACAACATGAGAAAGGATTTCTTCATGATGGCATCAAACCCAAAGTACAGTCACTGACAGTCGTTGTTTGGCTGAATTGGTCCATGGTCAACACATTGTTTTTTAAACTTAATTCATTTCAGATGACCCTGTTCTCAAATGTACACATGAATGTCAAAATACAAACATTGGCATGCAAGAGGGGCGATGCTCTAAACCTCAACGAAGCATGTTTGTACCCTAATGGGCCACTCCTTTCCTTAGTTTTTCTCCGATATCGCATCAGAGGGGAACCTAAGCGGTGATTCCGAATAAAAACAGCAGGTGGCTGTGATGTTCAAGGTACAGGCGAGACAATGAAATAGGATCCAGGAAATCCAGTTGAGAGTAACAGATCGTGTTTAGAGGTGTGAAATCTGTTGCCATCAGGGTGGCGAGTACTTCATCTTTTATGGTGACGATCACAACGCATTATAAAGTATTCTACCAGGAATGTGCGGCTATTGCAGCACCTTACCGGATGATGGTGCATTGCAGCAAAAGCAGAGGCTGCTTCAACTTTTTTGCCATACGACCTTGTGTTGTTTTTCCGGAGGCCCCGAGGTTGCCGAAAGTTGCCATTGCTGGTCAGGCGAGAGAGGGCTGCGGTTAAAGTCAGTCAGGACCATAGACTGTACATAAGAAGTGAACAGAGTCACCATGACCTCACCCATTGATTTGTGGACTATGGTTTTGAAGCCTTGAGTTCGGCATTTTGTCAGGCATCATCTTTAATAATAATTAATAAATAATCATAATTAACTGAACTGAAAACACACTGAAAAGGTTTAAGTTGTAAAACAAAAACACGGACAACCCCCATACGGGACAACGCCGCGACCTGTCAATTACAAGATAGCCCCGCCCTAAAGCATACTCTGCTTTATGGTCTGTTTGACTCTAAATGGACCATAAGTTACTAAATGAACATCATGCTGTATTG